TAGATACAAGCACAATACAAACCATCACAACAGAAATATGTGTTGTAAATAACTTTTAAAGTTTGAAAAATAACAATTTATCCAACCTCGTGGTTGCAATTTATCCTGGAATATAGCTGTCAGTATAAAACACGCGCGCGCTAGAACGGTGATCAGGGATGCCGGAAGTTGCTGAGGGCAAGGGGTGCAATTGGTTAACAAAAGGGCATACTCTATAACAAAAAGGCACCAATGAAAATGAAAGGGCGTCATGATCCAACATTCGTGTCGACCTCCCTCCCCGTCACCAATTTTTTTCGGACCGAATACAATTATTTAGGCACAATTCCTCCGTAATGCTTCAATAAAAAATCCATAAGTAATGCTTTCCGTTTCACCTTTCGCCAAATGGATAACAACTTTGCCGAATTCCTGACGACTGCGGGGTTGAACACCCCCACACACATCCTCAAGCGACGTTTAATTCAGTCTGCTGTAAAAATTTTGTGCACCCGATACACCCATTGAGTCTGCACCCGCACTGCACCCACAAAGTTGAAAAGGGAAGGGGTGCACTTGCACCCGCTGCACCCGTGGTTCCGGCATCCCTGACGGTGCTGTTATGATTTTAGTTGTGCTTAAATTTTGCAATAATTCCCACTAAAAAGTATCTTGAAGTCATTGTAAGCCTGTTTATATAAAGCATACAAAGCATATACATCGACAAGGAACTGCAAAACTCAAAGTTTAAACTTCGTGTAGTTCGTGACCGAATGACATAAAACTGACATGTCAACTCTAGCATTTTCGTCCTTGATCGCGTAATTTTGAAAACGGGTGAAAACGTTTGAAAACTCTTCGCCACGAACGCAAAATAAACAAATTAACTCTATTTTAAGTCTAATTATGAGTAACACTAAATGGTATCTGCTATAAGAGCTATAATATCCAGGGGCGAAACTAGCCCCTTTTAATTCGGGGGGTGTCTGCCAATTCCTGTTAAAACATGGCTTAAACCCTTGTTTTTGGCAATATAAATTCTATAAATTCCCTCTGAAAGCCCTGTAAATTACTTAACTCAACATTCTATCATTTAATTAAAATCTTTGATTTATTCAAAACAATAAATAATAGTAATTTTTACCAACCTTAGCTCCAGGATATGATTATTCCCTGACCAACCTATTAATATCCGCAATTCCCGCCAAAACTCTCACGACTGAGTGCAATTCCCGCCAAAACTTTTACGACTGAGTCAGTACAGGACTGAGTCCATCGGTACCGTCGCTTGCAGGATGAACGGTGAGGTCGTTGATAAAAATATTGCCTATTCGCGTGAGAATCTTCGATATTTGTCAAGAGCACTTGAAAGGTTCTGATCTGATTTTAACCCGTTGAACAACCAGATCCAAGCTTTGAAACCACCAAATGACCATAAATGATCATCAAAAACATTGAACTTTCTCGGTAAAAACATTGAACTTTGTCATGAGAATAGACAATACTTTACTGCGACCGTTCATCCTTAGTTCATTCAGTAAATGAGTCCGCCTTTTACAAATCGCAGCCCGCGATTTGTAAAACACGGACTCAGTCCGCGTTTTACAAATCTTAGTTCGCGATTTGTAAAACACGGACTCAGTCCGTGTTTTCCCGGTCCAGTCCAGTCCAGTCCGTGTTTTACAAATTCAGTCCGCGATTTGTAAAACACGGACTCAGTCCGCGTTTTCCCGGTCCGGTCCAGTCCAGTCCGGTCCAGTCCAGTCCAGTCCGTCTTTTACAACATGCCGGAAATTAACGTAGTCTTGATTGATTGATTCTTTAATTTTCTGTAGAGGTTTAATTTGTTTTGCTCAAAAATACAGCTTCAATGATGTAGAATGACTGTAACAGTTTATTCATATTCAATTTATCTCGCTTTTTTTAAATATTTTGACGTTGTGACGTCACCGTGAGATCGTGTCAAGAAAGTCTGATATCTTTGATGATAACTTAATAAAATTTAGTCAAACTTGGCATGTTTACACTGTAATGGGTGCACCTGCAAGTGAACAGTTCGGATTATTTATGTTTTGCCATAACAAATAATTAGTCCCCACTCTTTACTCGTTTAGCTTCTCTTCTTTTTTACAAATTCCTCCTGTAGACTTTAGTTTACTCGTTTCAATGGTTTACACAGGGCTGTAAATACTCGTTACAATTGTAACGCGTTACTGTGTACTCGTTACATTTGAAGTAATTTTAACCTCTAATTAATTACGTTTTTAGAAATGTAACAAAAAACGTAATTAATTACAAAAGCAAGGAACGTGTTCCTTTTCCAAGGAGCAAGTTGAAAATTGCTTTTCTTATTTTGTTAAAAGTGAGAAATAAAAAATACAACGTTACGACAAAAATTCAGAAAAATGGCTGAAATAATTTTCAACGAGATCACTGCACATGACATGATAGCCTACATGAAGTACTATTTAATTTATTGCGAAAGTGGAACCACAATTTGTTCCGAGGCTCAGAGCGCCAAATATTGGCAAATAAAGTTTTAAGAGTTTACATGCTTCGATTTGCATGTAAAATTTTTAATATATTTAAATATCATCTTGATAAATTCTTGCAAATTTCATAGTTTATGCCGTTTTTATTTACAACTATAATCATGAATTTATTACATTTTAAAGCAAGTAATTGTAATTGGTATCAATTCCTTTTTCAGTGGTAATCTTGCAGTCCTGGGTTTACAATTATCACAACACCTATGAATACTATCGTATAATAAGCGGAAATTGCAGAAATTGGTTTTTATTTCGCTGGAAATGGTGGAAACGAACACCGCGTGGAAACATCTGCTCATGCCAAATTGTAAACTTTTAAAAACATTGCTATTTAATTATTTAAGGTAATTGAAACAAACAAAAAAATACGTTAGACGGGTAGTTTAGATATTAATAAAAAGTTTTATAACATTACAGTAAAAATCTAAAAAGAAACAGAATTTAAATTAAAAATTACCGTTTAAATTAAGACCAGGAGGCGTGTAACATTTCTTGAAGAATAGTCGAATACCGAACTTATGAACCTACGAAAAATATCTTTGTATGGTTCAGTTAACTTGACGTTTTATACAATAAATTTATCTACAGTCACTTTTGGTTTATTTTCTTGCATAAACTACTTCTTGCATATGTATAGACTATAATTATTTCTACTTTTTAGGTTGTCACGTTCATTATTCCGCTTGCATTTTCGGGCAAAACATCGAAGTCGCTCCTTGTCGCTTCCATTTTGAGTTTTTGACAACCATTTTGAGTTTTTGACAGTTTTTATTTTGCTCATGTACATATATCTTTTTCTTATCTGTAGCATATGTAGAAGAAGGTCACCTGTGGGTGCACACAAACTGCGAGGCAGCGAGGCAATGGCAAGCCCGCGAGGCATACGAGGCATGCGACTGATGCGAGGAAGGCTGCGAGGCATGTGACTGATGTGAGGCAATCCCGGGAGTCCTGACGGGCCTAGTTTTCTACTGCCCTTGGGCCATTGGTTTCCCTTGGTTTGAATGCATTTTCAAATTACCCAGAAATTCGTTTATAAAACCTTATCGAGTTTGTATGAACGTAGCTAGTTTTTCAATTGACAGATGAACAACGCAAAATAGTTAATATTCCATAATTTTTAGTGAAGCTTGTCACTTGTTGAGCTATTGTCTAGGTTAATGTTTACTTTTTGACGTTTTGACTGGAGTGCTGTAGTTATTTAAAACTATAATGAATAGACAGAACTGTTATTAAAACTAGAATGTCGTTCACATTTGTCCGTTTGTCCAGCGTCAAGTTAAGTATGTTCAATATGTTAAATATCGTCAAATTTTGGAGTCAGTCATTGTGTCTGCCTCCCACTGGCACATCTGCCTGACTCGCACTTTTTTTCATGCCTCGCACTTTTTTTCATGCCTGGCACTTCTACCTCGCATGCTTCGCACTTTTTTTCATGCCTCGCATTGTGCCTCGCATCGTGCCTCGCATGCCTCGCACTATAGTAAAACTCGTCACCTGTTTGCGGTTAGTTTCGTAACAGGAGAGTCCAGAAAAATGTCTAGCGTAAAGTGTAAACATATACATGTTCCAACTTATGTACTTTTATTGTATTGACCTAGCTTTAATTCTATTAGTTTACATATATGCAGAGAAAGCATTAAACAAAAATGAGAAATTATAAGACTTCAAAAGCTTACAGACTGCATACATATTAAATATACATTCAGTAACAACACGCGAATTGCTATAAATATAGCAACGTTACAGTCTAGTAATGATATGATGATTTGTTGTGCTTTTGTTGTAAGTAGGCCTATCACTAAAATATATTGGAAATCCTTCTAAACGATTCTTAATAAAGTATACAAAGCATAGGCTATACATTGATATCGAAACACAAAATTCAAAGTTTTGAACAATTTGAGCTTCGTGACTCTGGTATAGACGTATGGGCCTAATGATTTAATTGTGTTATATTCCACTGGAAATCACCAAAATGAGCTTTTTTAAAAGTCTCGCGTGAGGCTCCAAGGCAATAACCCAAGCTAGTTTTTATATATAACATGTACTCATGCTATACCATTCCGTGGATGAAATATAAACAAATTCACGATTATCGCACATAGTAAATTTCCCCTTCAAATCCAGTGACAAAATGCAATTGTAAAATTTGACTAAAAATAGCCAATTTCAACAACGTCTGTCAGGCCAGTTAAAGTCTCCTGGGCCATTCTATATTGATAAAATTGTTCTTTAATACTTGAATTATAGTCATTAAACCATCAAAACTATCTACGCGCAGTTTTGCATCTGTCGCGAAGTGATGAAATTGACCATGGCAACGGCTTTGTCTGCGGCTAATTATAGCCTTCCGGAGACAAATTCTTGATTTCTGATATTTGTACGTTTATCGACCAAATATTGAATATCTAACCCAAACACCATTTATAACTAGGTATTACCTAAATTTGAGCAAAATATGAAATAAATCTATTTTTCATCTATTGCCACTGTTTGCTCGATTTTTACGGACAGTCGCTCTTAAATGCTTCGTGATAATGTAGAGAATTGTGCTTAATTGCCATTTTTTTAAGTAATCACAGTGGTACATCCTCTTTTTTATATTACTTGTTAGCCAGGGCGCATATTCACTCCTGACTTTACGTATTCTAGTCGGTGCATGTTTTTCAAGTACCATATTAAAGATATTTTTCCAAGATTCCCACATTTCATTTGGGTCTGATGTATCAAAATCAAAATTTTCAAAATTATATTTTAAGTCTTCATTGAATTCATGACTGTTATAATTTTTTAAACAAAGCGTAACGACCACTTTATGTTTACTTTTAGGCACAAATAGTTTTTGATAAGTATATACCAGCCTATGGTAACTTATTCCAATGTGCATAACTCCAGATTTTAAATAATTTTCAGGCTTGTTTGTTATCACAACGTCAATTAAAGTTTTGGAAGTCTCTGTCTTTCGAGTAGGTTCGTTAATTAAATGATGCAATGGACCTTTCCCCTTATAACTAAAATTTCGATCTAGACAAAAATTTCATCACAGCTTGAAAGAGCATCACAAAATTAGTAATATTCCATAGTTTTGTTGCAAAATCTTGTAAAATGCGGATAATATAGCCTTGCGAAGTTTGCCGTTTTTCAGTCATTTTGTATTACAAACGGGAAATTGACATCCGATTCGGGTGTTGGGGCTGCAATTTCCATTTGTAATGCAAAATGACTGAAAATTGCAAACTTTGCAAGGCTCTATTTTCCTCATTTTACAACATTTTGCAACAAAACTTTGGAATATTACTAATTTTGTGATGCTCTTTCAAGCTGTGATGAAATATTTGTCTAAACTTGCCTAGATCAAAATTTTGGTTATAAGGGGAAAGGTCTATTGATATAATTTAATATTTCTAAAAAATTGTGTAACTGAATGATTTAATAGATCATAATTAAAGTCTCCCAAAATCACAATTTTTTTTCTTCATTGTCCAAGTTTTTAATAAGATTTTCAATTAAATTTAAGACTTCATGATTTGAATTTGGCGGACGATAACAACTCACAATTAGAATTGGCTTGCTCTTAGGTTTCCGAACTTCAACACATAACGCTTCTAGAGAATCAGGCACAAGATCATTTCGGTTTTTAATATTTATATTATCTCTAACGTAAATAGCTACTCCACCGCCCATTCTATTTCTGTCCTTACGTAAAACGTAATAACCATTTAAGTCTATTAAACCATCGTTTATTGTGTCATCTAATCTTGTTTCATTTATACTCAAGATATCTAGGGGCTGTTTAGTTAATTGTAATCTTAATTCATCAATATGTTTGGGAAGAGAGGCAATATTTAAATGAGCCATTACAAACCTTTTAAGTCGTTAATAGTTGGGAATCGATTTTCACATGTTATTTTATCATTATGGTTTTTTAAGATCTGGCCAGAATCGCAGCATTATTATCAAAAATACCTAAGATGTTTGATTACACTCAAAGCAAATAATGATGTTTCTTTTTTTGTTCAAATGGACACCAGACTGATTTAAACAGTCATTATTTATATCGGAATGTTCTTACTATTAATGATGTATTATCAGAAGAACAATTTGGTTTCAACAATGTACTAATCTGTTTAACTTTATTATAAAGTGTTTCGTCATCAGTTCTTACTATTAGTTCGGATATAGTTACCTTTGTACTAGGTGAAGTTTTTACTACAAAATCTTTTAGCGCCATGATATCTTTGACAACCGTCTTTGCGCTGCTGGTCTTTATGTCATTTGTTCCGACGTGAAGTATAATATCGTTAGGCTTCTTTTCTAAAGTAGGCATAGTATAATGCTTCATATCTTTACACTTCGCCCCGCTAAATAATTTTGACGTGACTCTATCGTTAGTTGAGCGTCCTAATTTATGTGCTTGAATATATTTTGTCATGGAGTCACCACAGATATCCACTTTTCACTGATTTTGGTTTAGTCTATCTGTCAAATCTTTCTAATTTTCTTGCTGATATTGTTGTCGTGCCTCTTTCTCTGTTTTTTTGGACGCTCGCGTGGTTGATTTCGACGTTTGCTTAGGTCTATAATGAGGAGTTTTATCATCATCTTCACTCGTGCCAACATCAATTAATGATTGGCCGGCTTCTTCGTCGTATTCCGAAGCTTGTTCTACTTCGAGGGGTGAATACTAATTTTAGCCTAGCATGTCTGGAATTTTACTTTGTTTACTGGCGGCATTTGGAACGCGAGAGCGTGGATAGTTAGTTTTTGTGCTGCCACGCGCAACACTTTGATATTCACATATATTGGGAACTAATATGATTTATTGTTTTCATGTCTATCGGAGTGCAATAGACGTATTACGGTTATTAAACTTGCTCTCTAGTCTTCTAAAGTCTTTAATTTGTTATTCAAATGCAATATTTCTTGTTCTTGGTAATCTATTTTTGATCGAAATAATTGGTTTTCTTGTTTTAAGTTCTCGTTTTCGCTTTCCAAACGCTCTACATCTAAAGTACGAGCATCACTAGAGTTATTATCTTTTTTGATTTTTGATTCTATCTGCAGTTTGAATGAATCAAGGCAGTGTTTGTTAAATTGCGATTTCAATGCATTAATTTCAGTCTTCATCGCTTCTACTGTTTTATAAAGGGAAGGGTCAACACTTGTGGTATCTAACGCCTCACTTACTGAAACCTCTTGCTGGGAAGCTTCAGACATATCCTTGTCCACACTTTCTGTCGTGTCGGTAATATCTAAGACACTCGCCTTTAGCTTAATTAAGACACTCGCCTAAGACACTCGCCTTTAGCTTCCAATAACGACTTGTATTCCTCTGCTTTCGGGCCATTCAAGGAGGACGCGTTCCGTCATCCTGGAGGACGCGTTCCAGACTCGTTCCGTAAATCGTTCCGGACGCGTTCCTGAACGCGTTCCGAACTCGTCCCTGAACGATTTCCGCGAGACATTCCGAACGCGTTCTAGAAAGGTTTCCTGATTCAGAACTAGTGAATCGTAATGAGTTCGACAATACTCGGAAATTATCGCGAATTTCCGATTTATAGCATACCATATAACATAGAAAAATTTCTTGCGAAGAGAATCAAACACATTTTAGGCTACAATGCGAAAGCTTTCCTTGTATGCAATAACTCCGCCTTGTAAATAGCGTTGCTACAATTTCGATATTCAAAATTGCACAGATGGCACCGTCTCTGTGAGACAAATTTAGTTACAAATGATTTGCCACGGCGAGATGAAATTCACGACTAAAATATCTTCTTAATATCATCTGTAGAAACGCATGAATGTTGTGTGCTGGAAGAGTTACTTCGGACGAAGCTCTAAGCTAGCTATTAATGCAATTCAGCTAGACTATAAATCAATCAACGCATACAACGCTCCAGTCATTTTCAATATTTTACACTTGAACTATATTTATAAAGTGTGTCGCAAATCTTGGCTGTGTCAATAGTTTAATAACAAATATGATAAGACCAAACTTACCACGCAAATTTTAATTAGAATAAACCAGTCAGCGATGTCATTCTTATTAATTAAACAAATGTTCACCCGGTGCGAAAAATATAGTTTATTGTTTTGATCATACTAACGCGTCAGGAATTCTTGTATATTGGTATTACAATAAATCTCGCGTATATACAAGTGCTAAATCTAGAGCAAGGTTTACAAGAAAGATTGCATACCATGTGATTATTGTAGAAAGTGTGTCTATTCTAAAAATTAACATATGAATATATGTTTTTGAGGTAAGTAACGCAAACAAACACTCGGTGTGCATAAATTACCAGCATGTCTTTGTTTGGTGTGAACTGATTTCTGCCCACCTTCAGTATTTGTGTTCGGTTTAAAGTCAACAAATTCTCTGGCAATAGGGATTGGAATTCAATGCTTTTTGTAAACCTTGTCCAGATTTATCACTCATATATACGCGAGATTTAGTTATAATACGAATATACAATACTAGAATTTCTAACGAGATAATATGATCAAAACAATAAATCGTATTTTTCGCCCTGGATCAACATTTGTTTAATTAATAAGGATGATATCGCTGACTGGTTATCCTTCTAGTCAATATTTGCAAGGTAAGCTTGGTCTTTTCATATTTGTTATTAAACTATTTTAATACTGCCAAGATTTGCGACACCCTTTATAAATATTGTTCAAGTGTAATTTAATATCGAAAATGACAGGAGCGTTTTATATGCCAACGCATATATTATAGCATACATTATAGTCCAGCTGATCAGAACTTTGTCCGAAGAAAAACTCATCCGGCATACGATATTCATGCCTTTCTATAGATGATATTTCGTCGTACATTTTATCTCGCCGTGGCAAATCATATGTAGCCTAACTAAATTTGTTTGACAGGGATTGTGCCATCTGTTCAATTTTGAATATCGAAATTGTAGCGACGCTGTTTAATTAATTACAAGGTAGCTATGCTCACACAGGAAGATATCATGTTAAAAACTCACTGATGTAATATTACATTTTATGAAATGAAACGCTTTTTTATGCCAGTCAAAAGAAGCGTTACATAAATGACTCGCTATTCACCAACTCGTAACTCGCGAGTGAATTGCCACTCGCAATTTCGCACACTCGTAACTTGAGAGTGACTAGCCATTCACTGTGATTGATTCTTACTATTTATGACTATGTCTATGATTTTCAAAATTTTTGTTTTCACAAGCAAGTGCAGCCTAGCGTATCTGTAGGTGTGAGCTTTGAATTAAATTTTAACAACATCGCTACCCTATGAACAGAACTGACTGCATGAATATTGCATGGTATGAATATAACTTACTGTAGTTTAAAAGATAACTGCATGCTACTACCGCATTAAACTTTGAATTAGATTTTCAACTTGTTATTTTGCCATGCTAGTTCAAGACCAAATATATTTCCTTTCCTTGGCCGTTTGAATTGGTCGGATAATGCGAGCTAGACGAAATTGGGTTGATTTTGTTGTCATTTATAGTATTCGGAATTTTCCGAAGAGACTCGAAGCTTCAAAGAGAAATAACACGAGTTTCAGAACGCATTCAAGAACGCGTTCTCGAAGGTGTTCCGCGATTTTGGATATGGCGGGAGTTGGGGGATATTGGGGGCAATTGATTTTTTATATCATTAATTATCTTCGTTTTCGGGACAGGTATAACGTCGGCATTCTTCCAAGGATCTGGCAAGCGCTGCTCCACGAAACTACTGTTTAGGACCGAGGTGATTGGGTGGGAAAGGATGTAAGCATATTCTTTAAGGAGCCAATTTGGGATGCCATCTGACCCCGTGACCTTGTTGGAGGAGAGCGTCTCAATTCGTTCAGAACGTAGGATTCGCTTATAAACTCTGATGGATTTGGATTTGGATTTGGATTTATTAAAATAATTACATCGCAGCTTTACAGCTGAATTGCCTAATTTACAATTTGCTAATTGGACAAGAAAATTTGATATATTACATGAATAATTTACTATTTTAATAGTGATTACAGTAAAAAGTTTAAAAGGTTAATTTACTCTAATAATTGTATGTGTATTTTACTCTAACAATTGTATGACTATTGTAATAGTAATTACGATAAAAAGTTTAAAAGGCTAATTTACACTAATAATTGTATACGAACATCCAATAAATAAACATCAAGTTTCATGCGCTACACATAGAGAAGATAAAGGAATTCATTGTTCTATTAATCATGATTTGTGGGGGGTTGAAGTTCCTTTGGTTTCTCAGGTTATAATTCGTGTTATATCTTGCTGGTAATAAGCTATTAAGTTTGTGATCAGGATTAAGAATAATAGACTTAAAAAGTTTGTCACATAAATATTCATGATGATCCTTCATGGGCTTAATATCTAATCCTTCCAAACCTGTTAGATAGTTAACTTCCGGCATAATAATTGATATAGCTCTTTTCTCGACACGCACTAACTCACGCTTCAGATTTTGGGGGAGACAATGGTAAAAGGCAGGAATCGCGTAATCCACAACTGACCTGACACACGACGTATAGAACAGCGCTAAATCTTGTGGTGGAACTCTCGCCCGTTTTAATTGCACTAAAAAGTACAATCTTTTATTCACTTTCTTTATAACCTCGTCCACATAAGAATTCCAAGTAAGGTTGTCCTTGACAGTGAGTCCTAGCAGCTTTACTGTTTTAACAACTTCCAATTCTTTCCATTAATGGATTCGCGAACGATATTCTCAATTCGTTACACTTGTCTTGATTTAATTGTACTCTATTATTACGAGACCACGTAACCACTTGATCAACTATATTTTGGGCATCACTAGTACCCCCCTTACTGACAATTTCGGACGCTGTCGTATCGTCTACGTATTTCCAGGTATGTGCATCATCAATGATTAAATCATTTATCATAAGAGCAAACAGCCAGGCGCCCAGCTTAGTTCCCTGTGGTACTCCTGCAGGGACTGATCCCCACTCCGAAAAACAATCATCAGCTAATTTAACTCTTTGAAATCTATCGGTGAAAAAATCAATTATCCAGTTTATAACACTTGGAGGTAATTCCAATCTGCTTAGATTATCAATCAGTATACCGTGGTCGATTAAGTCGAATGCTTTACGATAATCAAACAGAATTGTCCTAATGGTTGAGCCATTTCCATCTGTTCCTAAAAAACAGAGATGTAACATATTAATTAGCGCGATAGTAGTAGATGAATTCGGGATTGTTCCGTACTGGTTTGTGTCGATAACTTTTAAAATGGCAGGCTTCACGTAATCCTCAACCACAAACCCCTCCGAAACCTTGGATACGCTAGGGGTTAACGAGATTGGTCTTAAATCTTTCTTTTGGTCCATAACCGGCTTCTTCTTGGGCAGTGGTAATACATCTGCCATCTTCCAGCATTCATACAATTGCTGTTCACGATATGAAGTATTAATAATATTCATAATTCGGAGAGCAACAATTCTGGAATAATCTCTTAAGAGCCAATTTGGAATGTTATCAGGACCAGACGCTTTTCCAGGGTTGAGTGTTGCTAGGGCCTTCTCTACGCGCATTTCTGTCACAGTTAGGACCTCCGTTGATTCTTCCAAGTCGCGGCATGGTGATGGAACGACCAATCTGTACTCCTCAATGGGCTCCAAGAAAGCTGTATTAATGATATTTGCCTGTTCACGTTGTGGAAAGTTAGAGAACTCGTCTATATTTATTTGACTGGACAGATCGCTGTTCTTTTCTTTCATACCATTTAAACGTTTCGCTTCACTCCACCATCTCTTAGGGTTCTCACCCTTAAGATTTTGTATGTTTGATTCATAATACTTCCCTCTGCATGCCTTTCTTTCACGGTTGACTAAATTCCTGTAGTATTTAAAATCAAGGGAACCGTTTCCATTCTTATTAAACGCCTTTTGTCTTTTGGCAATCAGGGTCTTTAATTTCTTATTCATCCATGGTGCATCAACAGTGCTGACCTCCATACGTTTTTCGTGCATTAATAAGTTAAGTCCATTGTGTATTACTTCATGGAAAACCAACCACTTTTCCTCACTACTATCCAAGGGAGCAAACAACTGTGACCAATCAAAGAGGCTCAAATATCTTACCATTTCAGCTTTACGACTTGCCCGATAGTCCCGTCTTATTATTACTTTCTTATTGTTGCCTTTTGGCGCTATGACATTAGGCTCTGCGACAATAGTGTTATGGTCAGACAGACCGAAAGGTGCATATGCTTTCGGTGCACAAAAGTACATATGCATATTTGTTAACGTGAGGTCTAAAATAGCATCTTTCCTCGTGTGTACTTTTACTATTTGCTTAAGGCGAAAGTGATTTAATAAACGATTAATATTTAGGCGGTTGAAATCACCAGTAACTAATATACCACAGTTGGGGTATGTGGATTCGGCCATTGTGAGTGAGTTGAACAGATGGTCACAGATCGAACTTGCATTACCGCTGGGTGGGTGGTACACCAATCCTGCAATTATACATGAGAAACCCCGAGGTAAGCGGTCAGGTCGTAAGTAAAGCCACAAGATCTCGTGATTCTCACAGCAATGTATTTCGTCAATTCGTCTGTAATTACATTTTTCAGTTCGAATATAAGCACATACACCACCATGATCATCATTTTTCCTATCTCTGCAAAATACAGTGTAACCAGGAATGTTAATTATGCTTTCTGCAATTGACTCTTTTAACCATGTCTCGGCAATAAACGCAAAATTAATGTCTTTCCGAATTAGGAATTCTTGTACTTCGTCTAGTTTTGGAACTAAGGACCTCACATTAGTCACCATCACCTTAGGAACATGAGATGGATTATTTTGTGACAAGGCGTTAACACCTGTGTTATGCAGATTCTTATTGGGATAGATTTTAATGAGATTATTGTTATTCGGAGTACGATTTCGTTTATGAAATGGACGGTGGGAGGTAATCTTACTATGATTACGTGATGAGATTAAGTTATGAACATTTCGCGTACGATTACCCATTGGGATTCTGGTATGGGGTTTGTGTATATGACGATTGGGAATTATTTTATTAGGTATATTAAAGGTGGCCTTGGCATTAATAGTAACGATGTTCGAACTTAAATTCTTGTCGATTGACTTAATTCTGTTTTCTGCGTTAATTTGTTTACAAGGATCAGGTAGTTTCCCCAGTCCGGCAGCCGATTTGATGAGCAATTCTTCCGAAAATTTTAAACTGCGTCGGTTATATGAGCACGCTCTAAACTATTGCATAGGCTCCAAAAAACTTCATTCATCTTGTTAGCAATAACTCTTGGTGACAAGTCAGCGAAATAGAGGATGTTAAGTTGGAAAATCAGATCCTAAGATCCGGACAAGATGCTGATACTTGAGATTCGTTTAACTGCACACCACCACTGAATAGGTTTGGCTTGCTTTAGTTGGCTGACTTTAGAGGTGAAGGAAGTTTACCCAGAATTTTTCGCTCACGATTGACTAAATTTCGAAGCCTACGAAAGCGTTCGGTGTCACCGAAACTAAAGGCATTCTGGCGTTGACATACAAATTTCTTAATTTTTGGAGTAATCCATGGACGGCCGTTCACGTGGAATTTTTCCTGCTGAATTGGCATAATATGGTTCAGACAGTTGTTAATAAGGTTCGTCATAAGCTCCAGCTTATCTTCACAGTTGACAAGTGAGTCAATGGTAGACCAATTGATTGCATTAAGGTACCGACCAAGTTCAAGTTTCCTGCTGGTTCGTGTGTCCCGTTTAGTTATTACTTTCCTACTTGGACCTTCCTGGAGAGACCTGACCTTAGGGTGCAATAGGACAACATTATGGTCGGACAAGCCAAACTGCGGTAAGATTTGCACACTATTCATTTCGTATATTTGAGGTAGATTGGTCAAACCTAGATCCAAAATTCGATCGGCTCTAGTCGGGGAACGAATACGTTGTTTCATTCTAAATTGGCTGGATAGTCGGCTAACATTCAAACGGTTAAAATCACCTGCACGGAAGATACCGAAACCAGGATATTAATTGGCCTTCGATAGTGGTAAAATTAGTTGACAAGTTGTCCAACATTTCATTACCGTTGGCGTTTGGAGGGTGGTAATTGTTCCGATAATTACACATGGGACCCCACGGGGAAGCCTTTTTGGCCTAAGCCACGCCGATAAAACTTCTATATTATTTATTTGGAGGTGTACCAACGATCTAAATTTGATGGAATCCTTGATGTAAAGACCAACACCGCCATGGATACCCCTCGTACGATTCTTCGAGATTAAATTATACTCAGGGATATAAATATGATTGTCATTGATAGAGTCATATAGCCATGTTTCTGTAAAACAAGCCACATCAGGCTTCCAATCTAAGATACAACAACGAATTTCATCGATCTTAGGGGTTAAAGACATGGTGTTGGTAAGTAGTGATTTTACTCCGAATTCTTAGGTCAGGAACGAGCAGCATCGTCAACACTACGTCCCCAGAATCAGGTTGATTGGACGACTGGGTAGCAATTTTACAAGGAACGGATAACAATTTGTTAAAATTGACATGAGACTGCGAAGCAATATTTGAACTTTGGTCAGCAGAAGTTATTCTGACAGGTATAGGCTTTATTCGGTGTTTAAGGGAGGTCAAGTAGACATCAGGTCCGGCTTCCATTATATTACATACATGTTTGTTGTGGTTTGGAGCGAGAGTAGGGTTTCCGACATTTTTTCTTGTAACTGTAGGAGCGGGCTCGAAAAACCTGTGCTACTGATCAGATGGATTATGTTGTTGCTGTTGATGGTGCAACGGCATATCACTATTCAAGGTTTGATAAGAAAACATGCTCGTTTTTGAAAAGATGACAATGCAGTTATATAAGAGGCATCATAAAAAAGGATTAGTGTAGTTGTCGGTGATCGGCTGAAAACGACGTACCAAAAACCAACATCGCCTCAATCAGCTGGAGACTTTCCAAATGATGATTTGGGAAAATTTCGAATTAGGTGGGAAAAAATCCGGAAAGGCGTGGAGGGAGGCATTCGAAAAATTTGGTGTCGGCAGGATCGGACGAATTTCCGGACGATGGGCAGTGCTGTCCTCGAATCAGCATTTTACACTACTAATGTCCTAACAGAAAAATACGTACGCAAAATCGAGAATAAACAAAGTTCTCGATTTATAATTTTCCGTAAACTCTGGCAATTTTTTCCATTTCAGACATTGATGAATGTTCTCAAGCAACGTTCGATTGTGATTCGAACGCGAAGTGTATCAACACCAATGGTTCCTACAACTGTGCTTGTCACATCGGTTATACAGGAGATGGTAAAGAATGCTCAGGTATTTAACATCCATGTACGCATGACTTAATAAATATTTTCAACTAGATTGTTGGTGGTGGTGTTCGTGGCGACGTCGTTATTGCATCTCGTTTTCGCTATTGTTGCTGATATTGTTGTTTTTTGTGATTTTTTTGCTATTGCCCCCATCCGCGGTAGCTCTTTGATTTGTTGTCATTCATATTCTTATTTGTGGTTGTTGATTTGTTGGTTGCTAATAATTAAAGTGTACTTAAGTGGAAAATAATGAACAGGATTACAAAACTGAGAAACTTTGGAGCAAGGAAGTTGTACAAGAGTAAAGCATATGTGGAAATTTATTCCTCTTGCTATACCATGCATGTGTTCGAACAGTATATGAGCTGAAAGGTATCAGCCAGATTTCAAACCGGACAAAGAAACACATAACCGACGCAATGAACTTGTCTGAACGTGTACACACGCTAATTAATTTATACTCAAAACCTAAATAACTTGAGAGTAATATTTTCTGTCACATTACTTTTGAGCCATCTAACTTAAAAATCACAACAGAGGCAAATTTACGTGTATGGCAAATTGAAAATTGTCACTAATTTCGTCCTCCGCAATGGGAAGTACAAACCTTATAGAAACCAAATGACCATGTATTCACATACATAGCCGACACTCGCATCACATACATTCACAACAATTGCACATCGCGTTTGCATGACTGACACTCATGTCATGCAAACGCAATATGTGTGAATAGTTGTTTCATACCACTGTAAATGCCGGAGCGGTTATCCTAGTGATGGATACAATTGTACAGGTATGAAATGTCCTAACAGAATCAAACCTGCGCAACATCGAGATTAAACAACGTTTTCGATTTATAAATTTCCGAAAACTCTGGCAATCTTTTCCATTTCAGACATTGATGAATGTTCTAAAGCGACCAGCAACGATTGTCATTTGAACGCGAAGTGCATCAATACCAATGGTTCGTACAACTGTGCTTGTCAAATTGGAAATAATTATACAGAAAATGGTAAAGAACGTCCAGGTAAACGTCCATGTAACTATGTAAGCATGGCTAAATCAATATGTTCAATTCTATTGTTGGTGCTGGTGTCCCTGTGGACATCGTTGTTGCATTTCGATTTTACTGTTGTTGCTGGTATTTCCGACTTTCTTTGAAAGGTTTCACATTTAAATTCTCCAGTAGATCAGATGACTGAATATCGTAAGTTGCACCCAAGTAATTACTCTTGCAGCACGTTATGGTATTTATGCATCGTATCGTTCAGCCCAATTTCGCAATTATCCCATAACGGGGTGCAATAATCGAAATAAGTTGTGCAATAGCATTTTATGCAATTTCGGTTGTCGACAGTGGTACAATACTCACTAAATGTCTGCTCCCGAGGGAAATATAGTTAGTTTGGTTTTGTTTTCCCGAGAATCTCAATGTTTCCCGAGAGGAAGTGTAGGGAAACACTGAGATTCGAGGAAAAACAAAACTAACTATTCCCCGAGGAACAGACATTAAGTGTTTTGTTATACAGCGACGAAATAGTCCGTGTGTTGTGACCTTGGAAAGTGCCTAGAAAACGATTTTCATGATGCATGTCTTAGATCTGAAATAATTTTACGGAAACTAACACTTTCGAACACGCTGATTTCAAATCCGAAAAGTTCCCACTCCATAGACCCGCAGTTTTTTCCCAAAATGCTATTTTATCTTCAATAATTTCACAACAAATTTTTTCATTGTTCAACGACACGGATAGATGACGATACACGATTATGTCACACAAAAGGACCAATTTCTATTAACCATTATTCCTTTTAACAAAAGACCGGTTTTGCTCGAATCATTCTGAGTTATGCAATCTTATGCGTGTTGGACGTAAATAACATATATCTTGTCTACATCTTTGAGAAGGTACAGATAATTCCTTCTAAAATCCTTAGTTCTGGATCTATCTCTATAAAATCACAAGGACGTTAATGTCAAGTCTTTGCGCTATGACTCTTGGATGAGAAATAATTCCTTACATGCGATCAAAATGTTTTATACAAAGATATAAAACTGTAATATACAGGGTGTCTCAAAAAACCCCAAAATCATTGAAATTGACGTATTGTTCGATATTCAATGCCCTAGCACTAAGTTAATCCCACGAGTGCATAAAAGATTGACATAACTGTTATAATGAATGGTAATACTCAGCGTAAACTTGTTATGTCAGGCATAAAGTACTAAACCCACGAATGCATATTACGCATATTACAATTTACGAAGCATTTTTAAATTCCCATGAGCAAACAAACGTTCACTTTACAAAGATATTTTAATTTTTTAAAACAAATTAATCACCCTGTCAAAATCCTTTGTGTTACGGCATTGAAATTCGAACAATACGTTATTTCAATGATTTTGTGTTTTTTTGAGACACCCTGTATATGTTATGATCAGCATTCAAATTTCCAACACGGTTTCCGAGACGTAATTCAAGATTAACAATTATCATTGCATTTGAATTATTACATCAGTTGGTGTTATACTGTGCGATAAGCGAATATTATTGAAAAGAGGGCTTCTATATACGTTGAAATCATCAAATAAACAGCTCATACACACATTTCTGCACTTTGTGGTAAGTTTACAGAGCATATTTTATACTTTGGGACTGATCTTTGTCTTTGATGTGAACATTTATTCTCATAGTTTAAGGCTATTTAAGATTGATCGATCCTGTCCTAAATCTTCTAGCAGCAACCATTCGACAATATTTCATTTTAGCGCTGTCTTTGCCGTTACGTTGGCTTCGCGTTACTTTTGTTTTAAATTACTTGATCTCGTTAAAAGAGTTATTTTTCAGGCCAGTGACACAGCTAAAAAACTTTGCATTAATGTCCTTGTGATTTTATAGAGATATATCTCTAGAACTGATGATCTTAGAAAGCGTTATCTGTACCTTCTCAAAGTTGTAGACAAGATATGTTGTTTACGTCCAACACGCATAAGATTGCATAAATCAAAATGATTCAAGCAAAACCGATCTTTTGTTAAAAGGAATAATGGTTAATAGAAACTGGTCTTTTGAGTGACATAATCGTGTATCGTCGTCGATCCGTATCGTTGAACAATGAAAAAATTTGTTGTGAAATTAGTGAAGATAAAATAGCATTTTGTAAAAAAACAGCGGATCTACAGAGTGGGAACTTTTCGAATTTGAACTCAGCGTGTTCGAAAGTGTTAGTTCCCGTAAAAATATTTCGGATCTAAGACATGCATCATGAAAGTGAACGATATCGGATCACAGCAGGCGGACTAAAAAAAATCAACATTCATATACAACAATTGTATTTCGTGATAAAACTCTATAGGGTAAAGGAGCTAAAAATTGGAACAATTTACTTAAACGGTTTCGGCAGCATGTCCTGTTTCCTGTTGTGTACTTTTATTCTCTTATACATTCCTTATTTAAACGCAAACTTGGAATTATCCGAGTTCACTCGAGTTGTACCGCCATTTATAGTTTATTTATGTACGTAGCCAAAGTTCCTCGCGACGGCACTGACCACAACCACCACGCAGAAATAGAGAACACATTATCATTCGGTTTAACCCTTATTTCAGTAGGCTAGGAGTGTCAAAACCAACGTGGGACGCATTTTTTTTCATTACATTGCATTATTATCTAGCTTACCCCCATTGGAGTTTTTTCAGTGACCATAGCTAGAAATAAAGTACAGTAAGGCAGCTAAACTTTGTCAGAACATGCGCATAGCTAACATATTTTACGAATTCAAGATGCCGAAAATATAAAACTTTAATTTGGCTCCATACAGTTTTTTTAAAAAATGGAAAATTTACGATTTAGATGCGTATTTTTTTAGTAACAATTATTACTTGTTGATAAACAAAAAAATTCCTTACTTGTGTAAAACAGCGTCGAAAGAGTTTGAATTTTTGCACAGAAATTACGCAACTGCCGTTGCTATGGCAACAATGACGTTTAAAGGTGGCGGACATGTAGGCTTTAAAGTAATTTTACTCGTAAACGACATCGGTGACCCCCAATTTTACTTAAAAAAATGATTTCTCTTTGCATAACCAATTATTTTGACAATTTTGAAAAAATTCTGTGCAGCCGAAAAAAAATTATTGTTAATTAATAATTACCTTTACGTGGCACAGATTTTTTTTCAAATTGTGAAATTAATTGATAATACTAAGAGAAATCATTCTTTAAAACAAAATTAGGCGTCACCGTTGTCGTTTACGAGTAAAATTGATTTAAAGCCAAAATATCGCCACCTTGAAACGTTATTGTTGCCATATCAACGGCAGTTTCGTAATTTTTGTGCAAAAATTCAAACTATTTAGATGTTGTTTGATATACGAAAGGTACTTTTTGTTTATCACCAAATAATGATTGTCCAAAAATACGCATCTAAATCGTTAATGTTCCACTTTTATAAAAACTGTATTGAGCTACCTTAATGATATACTAGAAATACATGCATGCAGCAACTCCTCGCTTGTATTTTCGAAACAATGATTTAACATGAAGTGCTAGTAATTGATTAACACTGAACGCAAGCTCGTGTTTACGTCAGTGTTGGATAAACTTAATTTGTATTTTATTTTTTGTACAACACGCCAAAAATAGTTGAAAGATTATTGCTTTTAACTATATAACAATAAATTCCCGAAATATGTACTGTAGGTATGTTGTTCTGCATTCAATATTGTCACGCAATATTGCAATATTGTTCGGATGATTGCATGCTCTAGCAAATTGCAACCGACACGAACAAATTGGAAGTTGGAATTCACAAAAGATTTGTCAGCAAAGCCTCTGATTGGATTATAAGAAAGAGAGAAGCCAATCAAATAGTCTGAGTAACTGGATTGGCGCTTC